ACGAGGCTGGCTGCGCGTTATTAGAGATGTGCAGTTTCTTCCTGAATTATTAAGCCTCATACATCTAGTCATACTTTCAAACGTATCCATTGGCTAATGAGCAGAGTAAAACCTTGTTCTTTCATATGGGACCAGATCTCCTGCAGCCCATTCTCCAGCCCTTCTGTAAGCCCAAGGGTGAGATGATACAGCTTTTTCCTTTCATGCTGTCCTTTGTACCTTTTCATATGTCTTTGCAGACTTTAGGGACAGGGATGTTTTTCCATCTAATGTAATTAGTAATTTGTCTTTGTGCTGCCATAAATAAAACCAGCTATAAAGTAGGACTCGGCCATTTAGAAATTTAATAAACTCTAAAGGTTGTAGTTAAATCTGATGAATTCTGTTTCTGGCACTTGCATGATTTTTGCCTGGCTTTGACCTCTTTCAGTTTCAGCAGCTATAAATCCAAGTTAATTATATATAGAAAACTGCAGTGAAAACTGAAGGCGTGCACATAGCCAGAAATACTGTGTGCTTCCCACTTATACAGCCATAAAATGGGTTGGGTTGGAAGGGACCTTCAAAGCTCATCCAGACAAACTCACTGCAATGAGCAGGGACATCTTCAACAAGACCCACATCCAGCCTGGCCTTGAATGTCCCCAGGGATGGTGCATCCAGCACCTCTCTGGGCAGCCTGTGCCAGTAGTTTACCACCCTCATTGTAAAGAGCTTCTTACATGTCCTTACGGATCCTAGAACGGGCACAGAGCTTGTTTGTGGTGCCGAGGTTAGCTCAGACCCTGGAAGGACTAAAGTGTTCTGTGGAGTAAAGAGAGTGGGTTCTTACAAGCGTTGTAACTTCCTCTTTGCATTGCTCATGTTTTCTTTTTTCCCTTTCTTTTTTTTGATAGTGTGATGCTGTGAATGACAACTTTGTCTTCATCAGGCCTTGCCTGGTTCAGATACTTCACTTAGACTGCTGTTAGAACGTAAGAGTTGTTTAGAGACATGAATCTGAGTTTCTCCTTGTGCTTGGTCACTGTCATGTTTTCCTTTCTATAGGAAGAATCTGCAGTTGGAAGTAGAAATTGTTTCACTTTCTGTTGCATCATTCACGTAATGGAAACACCAGTTGACTTTCTTCAATGAAATTGGATGTCTGGATTTTAACTTGCACCCAGGCAGCCCAAGCCTGTGTTAAGCCTAAATGAAAGAAACAATGCAAAGACTTTACGTCTATTCCCAAAGATTGTTTTTGGTTGAATTATCTTTTGTAGCCTCCTGCTCTGTTGCTGAGTGTTGCTGCTCTGCACATAGCCTGTTCTGCCCTACCGCAGAGCCAGGTTCTTTCTAGGGCTCTGCTGCTTCATTGATGGTGTTAATGTACAAACAAGGAAGTGCTGCTGCCTTGAGTACTGCCAAACAAGGTGAAAGTAATGAAAGGGAGCAGAAAATGGGAGTTTCTAAAGGTATTAAGCAGTAAATTGTATATAAGAGGATACAGAAAGCTTATACAAAGTTTGTTCGAAGTCAGGGTGCCTTGTAAAATGAAGCCACTGTAGGTGATACTCCAAAACAGGCAGTAGTTGAAGCTTTTTGCCTTCTTGTATTCTAAATACACAACTGTTAGATGAAAGGATGGGGAGAGGCTGCCACTTGTTTGCCTCATCTCATCCTAAAATTCTTTACTAGTTGAGGATAAAGGTGTTTTATAGATGGAGCAATGCTTTGGTTAAGAACAAAGCTATTACTCTTCCCTAAAACAATGTGTGATCCATAATTTACTTAGCATCTCACTTGGAAGAGTGTGTCCATGATAACTCTGAATTACAAAGTTATTTATTGGCAGTCATTTGCCTTCGCAGTGAGTGGTAATAACTGAGATCTTCAGTGTCAGCTTGTAAAATACATGTTGTCACTTGGAAAACTTCTTAGATATTACAGAAGTTTTAGATATTGTTGATGGTTTCAGCTGCATCATCCCAGAACTATTAACTGTCACTTCTACAGTGAGGTTCCCTTTGGGCTGATGTATATATATGCATTATAATCTATGTATATTTTTTAATGGGTGGAGAAAGCAAACAGAGAGAGATAGTGATTGATGGAGCGAGGACATGAGCTGTTCCAAGTTCAAGCCATTGCTGTAGTACACGCAGGTTGTTACACAGCCTCGTGCAGATCTTTTGCCTTCTGCATCCATTTTCTTGTGAACTTGGTGAAATATTAACACACAAAAGGAGAACTAGGATTATATTGTCAATATTTGTACGCCTCTTGCGTGCATTTAGTCGTAACTTCTTGGTGTAACAAGTACTTTTCAGGCTGCTTAGTCATGAGGTTTTCTTACTTTAATGCTGACAGGAGGAGGAAATTATGACAAAAAGAGCTCTTTCAAGTTTTAGCCAAAGTATTCCTACCAGGAAGCACTGTGAGGGAGGCAGAGCATTAGGAATGAAATGGAATATAACAAGGTAAAACACTGTCTCAGATGTAACCATGTATTAGCTTTTAAATGTAACTCCTTATGCTGGGAATTCTGTAAGGGGAGGAAAAAGGATGTGTGTAGACTTACAGGCGCTGTGTCTTAACCCTGTACTTTCTGCTGAGGACAACAGCTCTTTAAAGCATCGGGAGCACTGGAATTCCAGACAGCTTGGTCCTCAGAAACCTCAGTAAGGCTGTACAGAAAGCTGAGGTTGTGAACGTGCTGTTCCTCAGTTCAGTGTAGGTGATGTAGTGTGACTGGTGTGAAGAGGCAGCACCGCTTACAGATGGCTCCTTTCCTACCTTTAGTTTTGGCTGCATCTCAGTCCTTAGGCAACAGTCTGGTTTTAAAGATGGTGTGAAAGCTGTTAGCAACTTGCAATAAAACAAGTAACAATCCTTGTTTGTCGTCTTGCCCACCAAGAGAACTGCTGAGGGTGTGTGTATCAGAGTGATCCTGGAGTGCTGCTTAGCTAAAAGCCAGAGAACAAAAAGAAGAGGCAGTGTGATCCAACAGATAAATTCCAAGATAGAAGTTCTGGATTCAGTCCTAGTGCTCTGGGGCCTTGAGGGGAGGAAAAAGTGAACTCCTCTTAGGCCCTTGTTTGAATTAGAGTCTCTTCTAGGACAGGATTTTCTCTCCAGTGCTTACACAGTGCCTAGTGCCAGTTGGTCCCAGGAGAGCAGTCAGAAAACCTCAGTAACCCAATAGAAAACCCTTCTCGGGTGGGTGCAATGACTGAAGCTTGTTTGCTTTTGATTTATTATTTAAATCCAAACACAAAGAGCAGATGTGTTTTATTTAAAGGAAAGATTGTGTCTGTATGAAGCACACGCTTGAAGCATAAATGGGATGTTCTGCTGGCGTAATAGGATTCTAACATGCTTTTGAGTGGTCCTCAATTACTGCAATCACAGTATTTTTGTGCACTTCTGTAAATATCATCCATCATATTTGAAGTCATTTTACAAACTTTGTTTAGTTATCTCGGCTATTAAGGTAGAATAGCTCTAATAATCCCTGTTTGTCTTTCCACGTACTGCCTTTTACACAGGAAAATATGAGGTTGTGTAAAAAAGGGTGGAAGGGATTGTATGTGGAATGAACAGCACAAAGGCAAGGAAACAGGCTGAGAAAAGGGAGGAAATGCTTTGTCCATAACAAACTGCAATAATAGATGTTAAAAAAACCCAATTATAAGTTATTTTTACATATCTAATCAGTTAAATCTTTTATGCATTGGTGGGCATTCAGTAGCAGTGCTGGTGGCTGCTGTAGTCACTTCAACAGCACTAGTTCACCATCTCACATGTGTGGCTGCTGTTCAATTGGCATATGACTTCTAGAAAAGACTTTAATGCTGTTTCCTCTAACATATCACTGTGCTGCAGCTTGAGTCTCTTAAACCAAAGAGCAGGGAAGATAGCCAGGAGCTCAACACACTTGACAGATATAAGGATGCAAGGCAACATCTTGCCAACCTTTGATTATTTTTAGGTAGCAGCTCACGGCCTCACTGTGTCCTTACTTCATATTTATTGTCAAAACACAGTAATAGTGCAGCTGTCAGGGCAGTTCCGAGCTGATCATGTACCTGCAGTGTGTTTAAATTCCCTTCTGTCCAAGCCTGACTAGAGGACAGGTTGACTCTATCTGTGATAGACTCTTGTGTCTCGTTTTAGTTTGCTGTATGTGTGTGGCTGTGCTCATGAAACACGCTGTAAGTCAAGTACTTCTTGAAACTTCAGTTGTACTTCAGCCTTGTGGGAACAGTCCTTGCTCTGTGAGTGCAGTTACAATAATGTCTTTGTTTGCTCTGTATGGACTGAGCATTCCTTATGGAAGAACTGAGGTAAGCAGTGAGGAGCACATTGCAATACAGTGACATGAAAGTATGTCTTGGGTAGCTTTATAGTGGTTTTAAAACTACCTTGTACCTCTGAGTGTGCAGACGAGCCTGAGAAAGGACCCACCATATGAAGTTAGCTTAAAATAATCCTCTTCTGCTGGGAGCCAAGTTCTCCCACAGGTTGGTGGCTGATAGAAATCTATTGAAGGTTTCACTCATTCAGAGGTTTATACTGTCTTGACTTGCTGATGAAGCTTCAGTGTTGAGTTTTGTGCATCAGGGAGGTAAACCTCTCTCTATGATGAAACATCTTGTACTCTTACATGGTTTGTAAAAGCGTGTCTGAAAGCGAAACCAGAAACGTTCAGACCTTCTATAATAGGGAACAGTTCTGAAATGTCACCAAGGGGCAAGAAAACTAATTTTGTTAAACATTGTTAATATTTCATGTAATTTACTTTTCCCAGATAAGTCCCCATGGTAAAAAAACAAGTTCAGCATGTGCTTAACTTCAGCCGCTCAGTTAATCATTGAAGTTTGCTGTTGCTTCCAGTGTAGCCAAGCATCAAGCATCTGTTAAACCCCTTTTTGGTTTCAATCCTTGTGAAACAATTTAAGAACAACTGTTTGAATTGGTTTTGGCCAACAGCAATGCGAAGACTTGAGTAGAGCTTCACAATGGAGGTGGAATCCATCGTCCTCGGTGTGGAGGGGATGACATGCAATTCCTGTGTTCAGACCATTGAGCAGCATGTTGGGAGGATGGATGGCATCCATAACGTCAAAGTAAGTGACACTATCACTATTTCTTACAAAGCTTTGGTCTTACATGAGGAACCATGACAAAGTATGCACCAAGGGGAGAAAACATGTCGAAAGATGGGAAGCTGATGTTAGAAGTGCATGAGTGTGTTCCTGGTGTAACAGAAAAGCAAGTGACCACTTTACTGTAGTAGGAGCTAAGTCATTATTTGCTACTCTTAGGTAATTTTCTGCTTCATTATTAATTCAGGTTTGTGAAGTAATAAGAAGTCACAAAAGGCAAGAATAAGCAATTTTTTAAGTAAGATAAAGCACAAGCCCTAGAGCTTACACTGGAGAAAAACAAGCTGTCCTTACCCCTTACACTGAACAAATGTCTGCTTGCTCACAAGCCTCCAGGCCTTTTCTTTCAAACTCATAGTGCACACAGGTCACTTGCACAGCTAGAAAAGCATCTGTGGGCTTGAAGTGTCCGGTTCATTGTGTGGTAGCTGACCCACCATGAAAACTAAAGCTGCTTTTGTTGAGGTTCATGAAATGAGAGTAGCAGGTAATGCAGGTGACAAAGGAGTCTAGCCAGCTCTTTCAAGCATTAGAAGTTTCCTCTCCTTTGTTCTGTTTGTGAGGAAAAGGGAGAAAGAGCAGCAGAACTGTAGTCTCGAACTGTTACCAGAGCTACTTGGTTTGCCCTTAATCCAGACTTCATTGATCTGGTTTGATACCAATATTTTGTTAGTATTTTTTTTGTCATGGGCAGAATACTGGGTTGTAGAATATTCCAGTGTGAGCTGATTATTCCTACACAATACATCATTTTATAGTAGTTTTGAAAAGGGAAGCAATTTAAAAGTTGAGAGATTCCTCTTAGTTTTGTGACCTAACTTGTGTTAGAAAGAACAGTCCTAACAGCAGCAGCAACAGAAAATGGCAGTTTCATTACAGTATTTACAAGACCCATCGTTTTTCATCTCCCTTCAGCATGGAGCTTTAACATGACAGGAGGCTCTGCTCTGACACCAGATCCTCGGATCACTGAACAGACCCTTTTAGAAGTAGGGAAACCACTGTTAACGTTTTTGGCATGGCACAGTCAGATAAATCACCAGGTGTCCACAAGCATGAAGTCAAGTGAAGGCTTAAAACACCTGTAAAATAATAAGCCCGAAATAATCTGACTTCAGAATCCTTCCTTCCTCCCTTATTCCAAGCAAAAGATATTATCTCATCAGCCTTGAATCCTTATTGTGCCAGCAGATCTCTGAGAACGTGCAGGTGACTTGAGATAGGAGAAGGAGGAGAGATTCATGCTTCAAGTTGCTTGAAGACATCGTGCATCCTATAGTGTCCTTTACATAAGGAATGAAGCAGGTTTTAAAAGGAGAGTATTAAGAGTTTTGTATTTTTAAGGTAAATACCTTACCCAAAGGTAAAAACTTATTTCTAATCCCACTCTTGGCAAGAAAATGTATTCCAAAAACTTAGTCTGAGTAGAACAGGACTTTAAGAAACAGGACTATAAGAGATCATATTTAGTCATTATGCTCGTTACAGCATCAGAACTTCAATTGAACAGATTATAAGTTTCAGAAAAATCCCTGGGAATAGTAAACCAGGGGTTTGTTTAGTGATTATGGATTAGGTCAGCACAGGAGATGAATGTTGGGTGGCTGATGCAGACAAGCAGAGCTGTGTTTAGGCTATTTTGCCTCCAGCTGCAATGAAACCAATAAACGTCTGTGTTGTTAATTCTGCTGAGGCACATAAATGGGACAAAAATGAAGGAAGGTTGTTCTTGCAGTGATTTAACTCCTCTAATCTAATCGTGACTCTGCTCTTTAAGTCGTATCTTTGCCCAGAGGAAAGGTAGAATTGAATGATAATGTGTTCAGCCTCTGGCAGGCATCGGTTTTCCCTTTTGGAAACTGCAATAATTGTGTTTGCTGTATCATCAGTTGGGAGCAAATTAAATTGAGGGTATTTGGACCATGTGATGTGAAAGGTTAGCACCAAATCAGGAGGTCTCTGGATCAGCAAAATGCACAGATGGAGGAAAATCAGCTTCCTTCATGTTTGTTGTCTATCACATTTGAAACTGAAGTTTGTTCTGTGCAGTCTGATGCACCTTTTTGCTCAGAGCAAGTTGACAGCCTGTGCCTGCGATGCCTGGAAACACTGAGCTCCTTTCACTGCTACTTATGTCTGTGCTCTTTTTCAAAGAGTGTTTTCTTCCATCCTCGTAGCCTGAGGGTAGTTCCTACCAACTGCAGAATTGTGCATGTGATTAGAGGGTTTTTTTTCTGTGGGCTGTTTTGCTCTGGGGGTTGAATTGGGTTAGTCATCATGGTTCAAGAGAGTTTGGCTCTGGAAGTTTCATTAAATGTGCTGATGCCGTCTGGGTGTTGTAAGTAAAAGCGGCCAGACAGACTTGTAAAGATGCTGAAACTGGGGTGGGGAAGTCTGTTCTTTCTAGCTGTGGTGTTGCACAGCCGAGCAGAGGTTACTTTATGGTGGCTGTTGGTGTGGCTTTACTCCTCAAGGTGAGTAGTGTTGGATAAAATTATACTGGATAAGTATTACTGATGTATGCAAGTGGCAGTTGTTTCTAGTCTCATGCAGGGTATTAATTTTCATCTCTCAGTATTGCAGCTCACTAACTTGGTTTGGGTTTCTTCTCTCACCAGGTATCTCTAGAGGATAAGAATGCAGTCATCATTTATGACTCAAAACTGCAGGCTCCAGCAACGCTGCAGGAAGCAATACATGACATGGGATTTGATGCTACATTACCTGATTCAAACCCACAACCTGTTCTACTTGACACGATCTTTCTTATGATTCCTACTCAGTCATCCCTAACCTCTAAACAGATTTGTAGCGCGCTACTGAAGAACAAAGGTGTTGTGGATGTTAAAATATCCTCTGATCAAAGAACTGCCGTGGTGACGTTCGTTCCTTCCCTTGTAAATGGCAAGCAGGTGTTGCACATGGTCCCAGGAGTGGATTTAAATATCCCTGCGCCAGAGGTAACGCCTGGGACTTGTGAAGGTTCCGGCTGGTCTCAAGCAAGTAGCGTTGTGCTGCGCCTGAAAGTAGATGGGATGACCTGTCACTCCTGCACCAGCACCATCGAGGGGAAGATTGGCAAGTTGCAGGGAATTCAACGGATTAAAGGTAAAACCTTTGTGTAGTTTGATGTAAATCGGAGTTGACCAACCTGTTCCTCAGCAGCAGCACGGACATATCTTGATATGCCAATTAGATAGCTTAGTGTGACACTCTGTCTTGTGGTACTTGGTATTCAGTTACATGTTTAATTTGGACTGGGAAGTAAGAAAGGGGTCCAAATTGTGGTAAGGTGGTTGCTGTTACATGTGTGAAAGTATTCAGTGGTTGCCTTGGATTTTGGTAGGGAGCCTGGAGTAGTCATGTTCTGTAATTTTATTACCAGTTATTGAAATTTCTAATACCAGATGTCTTGGTGTGTTGTAATTAATCTTGCTTTGTTTTCTGTTCAATTAAGAATTAATATTGGCATGTATGCAATTGTATCTTAAAGGCAAGAGAAAAATATGAATAGCTTTGGAATAAATGTATTGCCACGGGCCCTTGATAAAAGAATAAATTTAGTAAGAAATAATAGTGTCATTTGTGAAAGTCCTGGGGAAAGAGCAAAAAACCTGAGGAGAAGGAGTGGAAAATTGTTGTAGTAGTAGGCAAAAAATGGTTGAAGATGTGAATTGTTTGATGTTTACCAAACCAATCCAGTCTCCTTTCCACTGCAGTTTGGTTTCTGATCATTTCAAGCATTCAAAGCATTTGATAATGCTGTTGCTCTGGGGGCAATGTGCTGCTTATGCTTAGGGCAGTAATGCACACTTATTAATTTTCAGTGTCCCTGGACAATCAGGAAGCTGTTGTTGTCTACCAGCCTCATCTGATTACAGCAGAAGAAATAAAGCATCAAATTGAAGCTGCTGGTTTCACAGCATCTTTCAAAAAGCAGCCTAAACCCCTCAAGCTCAGTGCCATTGACCTGGAGAGGCTGAGGAATACTCAGACCAAAGGCTCTGAGACAGCACTGAAAGAAAACTCAAATATGAATGACACAAAGACAGTTGTCTTCAGGATTGATGGCATGCACTGCAGTTCATGTGTCCTCAATATTCAGAGCACCATATCAGCACTCCCATCAGTAACAAGTATAGTTGTTTCATTAGAGAAGAAATCTGCTATTATAAACTATAACCCAAACTTAATTAGCATAGAAGTACTGAGAAGAGCCATAGAGGCAGTGTCTCCAGAGACATTTAAAGTCAGCCTTCCTGAGGAATATGACAACGTAGCACTTTTCCCCACGCTGGTGTCTCCCCTGAAGTCTCCTCATCCAGCTTTGAAGGATGCCAGCCAGCCACTTACTCAAGTCGTTGTGATAAATATCGAGGGAATGACTTGCAACTCCTGTGTGCAGTCCATTGAGGGAGTCGTATCCCAAAAGGCAGGTGTCAAATCTATTCACGTGTCTCTCACAAACCATAATGGGACTATAGAATACGACCCTCTGCAAACGTGCCCAGAAGACTTGAGATCTGCAATAGAAGATATGGGATTTGATGCATCTTTACCAGGTAATGACGTATTAAACTTTGACATTTAAAAGGATTGTTCAGTTCTGTTTAGAATTTGGTACCACCCAAGATGAAATTTAGTAGTTGACACATTCTTCGTGCATGCCAAGAAAAGCTTTTTATCTTCACTGTCAGTGAGATAATGAAATACACGTGCACTTCCTTTAATATAGCAGATTAATTAAAAATGATTGAGCTACCTGGAAATAGGGGCATGTACAAATACCGTTCTTGGTCTGGATTTACAGCAGCATGTATTTGTGGCTGGGGCAGTACCAGCTCATCCCTTATTGCAGTGGCTGTTCACAACGTCCTGAATTGCAGTCTCCTTTTCAGCTCAGCCCTCACCTGAAGTGCAGCTGGAATCCCACAGAACTGAGCCTCTCTCCAAAGTGTCACCAGCCCATCTTGTGAGACAAGAGACAAAGACTGTATCCAAGTGCTATGTCCAGGTCACAGGAATGACGTGTGCTTCATGTGTGGCCAACATTGAGAGAAATCTGAGGAGAGAAGATGGTAAGATACATGTCAGTGTAATCTGTTAAACTTCCACGTGTTTCTTCTAAAGACTCCGTCTAGCTTTGGTACAGCATTTTAATGGGTGTGTTGTGAAGAGAAGTGCCATTGCTGCTGTGTTTCATGGGTGAGAACATAGGATGAAAACAGTACTGTTCTGCCTGCTTTGTGTCTAGAGAAGAATGCCTTTGCAAAAGCAGGAGGTGGAGTGCTCCAAAAGAATATAAGGATCAAATATGGATCCTTGTGAAACTAAACTAAGTCTTTCCTACTGGAGGGGCATGCCCAGGTGAAAGGCAGAAGCATTATGCCTGTGTTAGGAAGGGAGCTATTAGAGAAGGACAGTAGTAATACGGATTAAAGAGACATAAGTTAATTTTAGCTCTGCAAGTCAGGACAACTGTGTCTGTCTTCTGTCAGTGATGATTACATTTGCAGGGACAAAAAGTTGCATAACTGTGATGTAATGAAGAGTTGTTCATGTAAACTGTGTTTAATTATTGTAATGAAGATGGATGTGTTCCAAGATAACCTGGAATTTAATCTTTTTTCATCCTAGAAAACGGATGAATCCAAATCCTTTTCCCTTGGTGTACAGTAGGATGCACATTGTTAGATGTGCCCTTTCTCATACATGTTCTCTCTTTGGGAACGGCTTTTAGAAATGGTAAATGCAGATCATAAAAATAAGCAGAACTGTATTTTAGAGGAATTTCTTTAATTAAACCAGATAATCTTTTCGTATAGCATAGCTGGAATGTCTGTAATTAGGCTGTTAAAACTATGCAACTCATGTGGGGTAATACTTCACCTGCCACACCTATGCTTAAGTCCTTTTGTTGCATTGGTGCTGCATCTGATGATGTTTTTCTTTCTCTGTACTTATGCTGTGGTAGCTGTCTCAATTTCAGTCAGCTGCTGCTGTGCCACCCTGCTACTGGAAGTGCACTGAGACTTTTAAACATCATCTGCCATTCCCACGTTTTGTTTTCTAGGAATACATTCCATACTTGTTGCCCTAATGGCAGGGAAGGCAGAAGTGAGGTATAATCCTGCTGTCATACACCCGTCAGCGATTGCAGAGCTCATCCGGGAACTGGGATTTGGAGCTACCGTGATGGAAAACTGTGGTGAAGGAGATGGAATTCTGGAACTTGTTGTAAGCTAGTAGTTAAACTTGGATGTGCTTGTATAAGCGTCCGCTTCCTAAAGTGTTCATTGTATATTAGAGTTTAATTTACAAAGAATAAAGAGTGCATCAGGTATGTGTCACAAACTAATCCTGTCCTGCAAACTGTGCTGGCTCAGTTCTACCACACTAAGTCGGAGAAATATTCCTGTGGGATTTTTGATTACTCTGGTTATTTCAGGAATTTCCTTTTTACTTTTCAGTAGCTGAGTTGAACTCGCTGTAAGCCAAGCTCTGAGCTTCAAGAGCCAGGAGAGCTTCATAACCTTGTCTCCTCTATCGTGCTCTCATCCTTAACTAAAGAGCTCCATCTCACTGCTTCAAACCCCAGAAACATGCAATAAGTAATTCAGGATAGTCAGAAGCACTCTTTCTTTTCCTACTTTTTAAGATGCATTTACTGAGTCACCTGTGGCTTTGGTAACAGGAAGGAATCTTTATTTTCCAGGTGAGAGGAATGACGTGTGCTTCTTGTGTACACAAAATAGAATCCACCCTCATGAAGACTAATGGTGTTTTATATTGCTCAGTAGCTCTGGCAACCAACAAAGCACACATCAAATATGATCCTGAGACTATAGGGCCACGAGATGTCATACAAGTGGTAAAGGTAAGTTTGGTGAAGGCACCAAGTCCCATAAAATATCCAGTGTCCTTTCACTGAGAAGTTAAATACCCCAGAATAAAAGGGAAGACTTAAAGGAAAAATTGTCTCTCCTTCCATCTGCTGCCTTCATAGTGCAGGGTTCTGCAGATAATGTGTGTTCTGACTCAGAAGCAAGGCTCTGTTAGGTCTACCTATGTTTTTATGCAGAAATACTAGGAAAGCCAGGCTATGGTAGAGTTGAAGATACCAGCTATAGGCTTGCAGAAAAATAAAGCACATCCATGTAGCAGGAGAGAGATCAAAATGAAATCAATTTCTTAGCTTTCTGTCTAAATATCTCTTACTTTTGTGCTTCAGGAAAAACCATGTTGAAAAACCCACATTTTAGAATAGCATTTTAGTGTTCCAGAAAGGCTGATTTCTACATCAGTTTGCTTTTCTGTCTTTGCAAGGTAAATAAAACCAGTAACAATCATACTAGAAATGGTAATAAAGTCAATGTAAGGCTGACACCATCACTTACGTGGCAGTAACTTTGTGAGCACAGTGTCTTCAAAAATAGGCTGTTCTCTTTTTTCCATTATTATGCTTTTTCCCCTTAGGATTTAGGCTTCACTACTTCGTTAGTCAAAAAAGATAGATCAGCGAGTCACCTAGATCACAAGCAGGAAATAAGGCAGTAAGTATTCCTGAACATGCTTACATTCTTCTTTCTTAATCAACAGCAAAAGTGATGATATTTTTATGTGTGTGCCGACTTGCTTAGCTAAAATGTTACCCACTGGACTGCAAACCAGTTCTTTTTCTTCTTTCAAATCTGAGGTGGAAAAGGTCTTTCGTTGTGAGTCTGGTTTTCTGCATCCCTGTCATGGGGCTGATGATCTACATGATGGTGGTGAACAGTCAGCTTTCAGATGCTCACGCACATCACAACATGAGCACTGAGGAAATGGAGGCTCTTCACTCCTCAATGGTCCTGGAATACCAGCTCCTACCAGGATTGTCTGTTATGAATTTTGTCTCCTTTTTACTCTGTGTCCCAGTACAGGTAAGTGGGAATATGACAACTCCTAGTTTGTTTGGCTTCAAAATTTGAAAACTGACTGTAATTATGGTGATTTAATTGCCTTTGAAGTTGCTTTTGAGGTGGTTCTGCTAAAATGTGTGGTTCTAGGGACAGGCCAGTCAGTGTAGAGGTGCTGTGCAGCATCTGAGGCAGCAGTGGTGGGCATGGGGAGGAGCTGGTGGAATGTTGTGGAGGTGAGAAGACTCAAGAGTACTATGGTAGAGATCAGAGCCCTTGGCTAGAGCTGGAATTTTTTTTCAGGGAGAGATGCAGAAGGCAAATAGCACAGATGAAATGGGTGTCTCCCTCTCTTACAGAAATGCTGCTGCTACGTGTTACGTGTGTGTGTGTATATGTATATAAATATGTGTATGTATAAATACAACTGATGCTCCTATTACAGATGTTTGGAGGCTGGCACTTCTATATCCAGGCCTACAAAGCAGTGAAGCACAAAACTGCAAACATGGATGTGCTCATTGTTCTGGCAACCACCATTGCCTTCGTGTACTCACTTGTTATTCTTCTAGTTGCAATGGCTGAGAAAGCAAAAGTGAACCCTGTAACTTTCTTTGACACACCTCCTATGCTGTTTGTGTTCATCTCCTTGGGCCGGTGGTTAGAGCATGTTGCAAAGGTAAGTAAAATAAAAGCCATCATATCTACGAGCTGCAAGACACTGAGAGTCATTTCAGAATGTTGTGTACCTTAAAACAAGTCCCATGAACAAGCTTTGTTAGGTTCTTCTAACCTTCTGTGTTGTAAAATCTTCAGTAACTACTAACAATATGAAATGACTTAATATTAGTCTGTTTGAAGAAAGTCTTTTTAACAGGGTAAATTGCAACACATGCAGTTGTCATTTACCCAGCAATTTCTTTCAATAGCATAGTCAGAAAAACATGAAAATTATTATTCTAGGGTAAAACATCAGAAGCACTGGCAAGACTAATTTCATTACAAGCTACTGAAGCTACTATTGTTACCTTGGGGCCCGATAACGTTCTTTTAAGGTATCTTGCTTTGTCATTTGCTTTTTCTGTTGTTCCTTTTTTGTTGTTAATGTGCCTAATTCTCAGACAAATGTTACCATTCTATAGAACTATGGAACAAATAACTTCACATTTGCTGGCAGTTTTGCCAGATATAAATGTTAAAATGCAGGAAAAAAAATAACTCTGCTTTTGTTTGTTTTATTGGAATCTTGCTAATTTTGACTGTGATAAGAAAAATAGTGGATTTTCACAACTGGAGAGGAACTAAAATGATGATAAAATAATCATAGTGCTCTTTAAAATGGCCTTTCTTCTGGCAATTTTTATATACTTTTACAATGTCAACCAGTGGGATTATACTTTGTGTGTAGTGACAAGTCTTTTTGCCCGGGTAACTTCAGCTGACAATCTCTTACTAAAAACCCTATACATCATTCTAGTGAAGAGCAAGTTGATGTCGAACTAGTTCAACGAGGTGACATTGTCAAAGTGATCCCAGGAGGCAAATTTCCAGTGGATGGTCGTGTTATTGAAGGACACTCCATGGTAGATGAATCTCTCATCACAGGTAAGCATTTGGTTTTTGCCAGTGTAAAAACGTTTTTCTTCAAATGAATCTGGAGAAGGGAAGCTGAAGCTCATGTTCTCACTCCTCTGCTTGCGTGTTAGGAGCTGGTAGCTATGATAATATTCCTGTAAAATATACCTTAGTTTGTGTTGTTGCCCTTTTTTTTAGGTGAAGCAATGCCTGTGACTAAAAAACCTGGCAATACAGTTATTGCAGGTTCTATTAACCAGAATGGGTCACTGCTGATTTCAGCAACCCATGTTGGAGCTGATACAACTCTGTCCCAGATCGTTAAACTGGTGGAGGAGGCCCAGACCTCAAAGGTAGAGTATTGTCAAATGAGGCATTTGGGTTTTGGCTTATCACTTGGGCATCAGCATCACGAATCACTTGAAGAGTGATTAAGATGGTTTAGATCTGAATTGCAGTTGCATAATGAAGTATCTTGCTGAATAAGGACTTTGATGCAATCTACAGCTCCAAGTCTCATCGTCTTATTAAGCAAATACATAATTATACAGTGTGGTGTGCCAAGTGTGCTGCAAACAGCAGCTCTGACTGTATCTGTGTCTGAAGGCACAGAGTAACCATAATGCTGCTGGAGCTGACATCTTTCTCCTTTCTAGGCTCCCATACAGCAATTTGCAGACAAACTTAGTGGCTACTTTGTTCCTTGCATTGTGGCTGTCTCTGTGGTTACCCTTTTTGCCTGGATTATAATTGGTTTTGTGGATTTTGAAATAGTAGAAAAATACTTTCTGGTGAGTAAGTCTCCTTAAACACCTTCTGAAATGTTTAATAAATAGTTAGCCTGCAAGTCTGTTAGACTGCAGTGGTTCCTTCTCTGAATTATCCTTGCAGGCAGTGGCTATAGTTATTGTTGTTATATTTTTTACACCCTACCAATCCTACATTTATACTTAAAGAGACTTTACAGTCATGGATCAATTCCTGAAAGTTAGTATTAAAAACAAGAAGTTAATTTAAAAAAGTAAACACTTAACATCAAAATTTCCCATTCCTGTCCCTTCTCTGTGGGGAACACAAGCTTCCTGTGCCACAAGCTCCAATTGTGTATCAAGTTTTGTTAGCATAGCTCTGTTTTAGTTCCTCTTTGAAATCAGTGGGATTCATCTTCATTACAGAGGAAGATCAGGATCATCCTAACTTGTACCTTAGGGTTGCTTAGATCAGATTTCTTGGTTCATGACTATTTCTGATTAGAAATGATTCATTTCCAAGAAAGCAATCTTCATATCCTCTTTCTTTTTTACTGTAGATATTTGTCAATAGAGTATCTTTTATTACATTACAGCATAAAAGTTATAGCATGTGGTACCTTATTTAGGAAAAAGTCCTATAAATAAAACAGCTTACGGGTATGTGCAGTGTATAACAGAACTTAATTAGTTAATTAGTCCTTTTAGTCATTAATCTTGGCTTTTGCATAATTTGCCTGAGCTTTACTTTTTAATATTCATACTTTAGTATGAATATTATATATATTCATA